ACAGTCACTTGGTACCCACTCCAATACCCACTTGGTAATCACTCCAACAGTCACTTGGTACCCACTCCAATACCCACTTGGCACCCACTCCAATACCCACTTGGCACCCACTCCAATACCCACTTGACACCCACTCCAATACCCACTTGGTACCCACTCCAATACCCACTTGGTAATCACTCCAACAGTCACTTGGCACCCACTCCAATACCCACTTGGTAATCACTCCAACAATCATTTGGCCCCCACTCCAATACCCACTTGGTATCCACTTCAATACTCACTTGGCACCCGCTCCAATACCCACTTGACACCCACTCCAATACCCACTTGGTAACCACTCCAATACCAACTTGGTAATCATTCCAACAGCCACTTGGTACCCACTCCAATACCCACTTGGTATCCACTTCAATACTCACCTGGTACCCACTCCAATACCCACTTGGTAATCACTCCAACAGTCACTTGGCACCCACTCCAAAACCCACTTGGTAATCACTCCAACAGTCATTTGGCCCCCACTCCAATACCCACTTGGTATCCACTTCAATACTCACTTGGCACCCACTCCAATACCCACTTGACACCCACTCCAATACCCACTTGGTACCCACTCCAATACCCACTTAATAATCACTCCAACAGTCACTTGGTACCCACTCCAATACTCACTTGGCACCCACTCCAATACCCACTTGACACCCACTCCAATACCCACTTGGTACCCACTCCAATACCCACTTGGTAATCACTCCAACAGTCACTTGGCACCCGCTCCAATACCCACTTGACACCCACTCCAATACCCACTTGGTAACCACTCCAATACCAACTTGGTAATCATTCCAACAGCCACTTGGTACCCACTCCAATACCCACCTGGTATCCACTTCAATACTCACCTGGTACCCACTCCAATACCCACTTGGTAATCACTCCAACAGTCACTTGGTACCCACTCCAATACCCACTTGGTAATCACTCCAACAGTCACTTGGTACCCACTCCAATACCCACTTGGCACCCACTCCAATACCCACTTGGCACCCACTCCAATACCCACTTGACACCCACTCCAATACCCACTTGGTACCCACTCCAATACCCACTTGGTAATCACTCCAACAGTCACTTGGCACCCACTCCAATACCCACTTGGTAATCACTCCAACAATCATTTGGCCCCCACTCCAATACCCACTTGGTATCCACTTCAATACTCACTTGGCACCCGCTCCAATACCCACTTGACACCCACTCCAATACCCACTTGGTAACCACTCCAATACCAACTTGGTAATCATTCCAACAGCCACTTGGTACCCACTCCAATACCCACTTGGTATCCACTTCAATACTCACCTGGTACCCACTCCAATACCCACTTGGTAATCACTCCAACAGTCACTTGGTACCCACTCCAATACCCACTTGGTAATCACTCCAACAGTCACTTGGTACCCACTCCAATACCCACTTGGCACCCACTCCAATACCCACTTGGCACCCACTCCAATACCCACTTGACACCCACTCCAATACCCACTTGGTACCCACTCCAATACCCACTTGGTAATCACTCCAACAGTCACTTGGTACCCACTCCAATACCCACTTGGTAATCACTCCAACAGTCACTTGGTACCCACTCCAATACCCACTTGGCACCCACTCCAATACCCACTTGGCACCCACTCCAATACCCACTTGACACCCACTCCAATACCCACTTGGTACCCACTCCAATACCCACTTGGTAATCACTCCAACAGTCACTTGGTACCCACTCCAATACCCACTTGGCACCTACTCCAATACCCACTTGGCACCCACTCCAACACCCACTTGGCACCCACTCCAATACCCACCTGGTACCCACTCCAATGCCCACTTGGTAATCACTCCAACAGTCACTTGCTACCCACTCCAATACCCACTTGGTAATCACTCCAACAATCATTTGGCCCCCACTCCAATACCCACTTGACACCCACTCAAATACCCACTTGGTACCCACTCCAATACCCACTTGGAAATCACTCCAACAGTCACTTGGCACCCACTCCAAAACCCACTTGGTATCCACTTCAATACTCACTTGGCACCCACTCCAATACCCACTTGACACCCACTCCAATACCCACTTGGTACCCACTCCAATACCCACTTAATAATCACTCCAACAGTCACTTGGTACCCACTCCAATACTCACTTGGCACCCACTCCAATACCCACTTGACACCCACTCCAATACCCACCTGGTACCCACTCCAATACCCACTTGGTAATCACTCCAACAGTCACTTGGTACCCACTCCAATACCCACTTGGCACCCACTCCAATACCCACTTGGCACCCACTCCAATACCCACCTGTTACCCACTCCAATACCCACTTGGTAATCACTCCAACAGTCACTTGGTACCCACTCCAATACCCACTTGGCACCCACTCCAATACCCACTTGGTAATCACTCCAGCAGTCACTTGGTACCCACTTCAATACTCACTTGGCACCCACTCCAATACCCACTTGACACCCACTCCAATACCCACCTGGTACCCACTCCAATACCCAGTTGGTAATCACTCCAACAGTCACTTGGTACCCACTCCAATACCCACTTGGCACCCACTCCAATACCCATTTGGTACCCACTCCAATACCCACTTGGTAACCACTCCAATACCCACTTGGTAATCACTCCAACAGTCACTTGGCACCCACTCCAATACCCACTTGGTAATCAGTCCAACAATCATTTGGCCCCCACTCCAATACCCACTTGGTATCCACTTCAATACTCACTTGGCACCCGCTCCAATACCCACTTGACACCCACTCCAATACCCACTTGGTAACCACTCCAATACCAACTTGGTAATCATTCCAACAGCCACTTGGTACCCACTCCAATACCCACTTGGTATCCACTTCAATACTCACTTGGCACCCACTCCAATACCTTCTTGGTAATCACTCCAAAAATCATTTGGCCCCCACTCCAATACCCACTTGGTATCCACTTCAATACTCACTTGGCACCCACTCCAATACCCACTTGACAGCCACTCCAATACCCACTTGGTACCCACTCCAATACCCACTTGGTAATCACTCCAACAGTCACTTGGTACCCACTCCAATACCCACTTGGTAATCACTCCAACAGTCACTTGGTACCCACTCCAATACCCACTTGGCACCCACTCCAATACCCACTTGACACCCACTCCAATACCCACTTGGTACCCACTCCAATACCCACTTGGTAATCACTCCAACAGTCACTTGGTACCCACTTCAATACCCACTTGACACCCACTCCAATACCCACCTGGTACCCACTCCAATACCCACTTGGTAATCACTCCAACAGTCACTTGGCACCCACTCCAATTACCACTTGGCACCCACTCCAATACCCACTTGACCCCCACTCCAATACCCACTTGGTACCCACTCCAATACCCACTTGGTAATACTCCAACAGTCACTTGGCACCCACTCCAATACCCACTTGGTAATCACTCCAACAATCATTTGGCCCCCACTCCAATACCCACTTGGTACCCACTCCAATACCCACCTGGTACCCACTCCAATACCCACTTGGTACCCACTCCAATACCCACTTGGCACCCACTCCAATACCCACTTGGCACCCACTCCAATACCCACTTGACACCCACTCCAATACCCACTTGGTACCCACTCCAATACCCACTTGGTAATCACTCCAACAGTCACTTGGCACCCACTCCAATACCCACTTGGTAATCACTCCAACAATTATTTGGCCCCCACTCCAATACCCACTTGGTACCCACTCCAATACCCACTTGGCAACCACTCCAATACCCACTTGGCACCCACTCCAATACCCACTTGACACCCACTCCAATACCCACTTGGTACCCACTCCAATACCCACTTGGTAATCACTCCAACAGTCACTTGGCACCCACTCCAATACCCACTTGGTAATCACTCCAACAATCATTTGGCCCCCACTCCAGTACCCACTTGGTACCCACTCCAATACCCACCTGGTACCCACTCCAATACCCACTTGGTACCCACTCCAATACCCACTTGGCACCCACTCCAATACCCACTTGGCACCAACTCCAATACCCAATTGACACCCACTCCAATACCCACTTGGTACCCACTCCAATACCCACTTGGCACCCACTCCAATACCCACTTGGTACCCACTCCAATACCCACTTGGTAATCACTCCAACAATCATTTGGCCCCCACTCCAATACCCACTTGGTACCCACTCCAATACCCACTTGGCACCCACTCCAATACCCACTTGGTAATCACTCCAACAGTCACTTGGCACCCACTCCAATACCCACTTGGTACCCACTCCAATACCCACTTGGTAATCACTCCAACAGTCACTTGGCACCCACTCCAATACCCACTTGGTAATCACTCCAACAATCATTTGGCCCCCACTCCAATACCCACTTGGTACCCACTCCAATACCCACCTGGTACCCACTCCAATACCCACTTGGTACCCACTCCAATACCCACTTGGCACCCACTCCAATACCCACTTGGCACCAACTCCAATACCCACTTGACACCCACTCCAATACCCACTTGGTACCCACTCCAATACCCACTTGGTAATCACTCCAACAGTCACTTGGCACTCACTCCAATACCCACTTGGTAATCACTCCAACAATCATTTGGCCCCCACTCCAATACTCACTTGGTACCCACTCCAATACCCACTTGGCACCCACTCCAATACCCACTTGGCACCCACTCCAATACCCACTTGACACCCACTCCAATACCCACTTGGTACCCACTCCAATACCCACTTGGTAATGACTCCAACAGTCACTTGGCACCCACTCCAATACCCACTTGGTACCCACTCCAAAACCCAATATCCAAGTCGAATACAATTGATTGGATTTGATTATTATCACGTCTTAATTGGAAATGTTTTTTGCTTCAGCCATACAATATGACGTTCGCATAGCCATTTCGGAATACTGGATTAGCCACCTGTACGACAATTCAACTGAGACCTTCCAGCATGCCGCGAAATCACTAGAATCTCAGGTAATGCAATTTAATGAATTAAAAAAGATTCTAGCTGAAAACGGCTTAAAACGAGATGCAGTGAAAGGTGAAAAATCCAAGAGCTCGCAAATCGTTAAAAAGCAGTTTTGACAGCGTTTGTTCTTTAGTTTGAATATTATCCAGTCACTGTAACTGATTCAATAAGCAAACGAAATTTTAAAAGCGACCTCATAATCAAGTCTGCTCTGCTAAGAAAAAAACTAAAACTGAAAATTGCAATTTGAGCTTTTAGTTACTCAATTATCCGCATGTACTTCATTTAGTTTCGAGACGGTTTTCTCCTCAACAACGAAAGTTGGGTTCTCAACTCCTACAAACTACTCCGATTTGACTTGAAGAGCTCTGAAGAGTATTTCGCCTACTTGAACATTACAATTGAAGACACTAATGCAACCCTGGGTGGCAGAACCGATTCATACATCGAGTTGGTTGTGAGAAACGGTTTCGATACACTGGACACTTCGACCTACACAAACAAAGTGGAGGTAGTTTTTGAGACATTTGAGATTCTCAGAAACCAACAAGAGAGTATAAACGTCGCGCTAACTTGCACTCATACAGGGATGATCATTCACATCGACGAGAGCCAATTTACAGATGGTAAAGTTCGATTAAACTTGCCCAGAAACACTGTTGGTTTCAGTTTGAACTTAATGAGCCCAGCCCGTAAACTAACTAGAGTACCAGGTCCTCACTGATTGGAAGCATAATAAGGGAACGTTTGTTACTAAATAAAAAATTCTCATGTGTTTTACCGTTGATTTGGCTCTTTATTGGGTTGGCAAGGGGAAGGAAGGTAATTAAAGAAATCCGTTTCGTCTTGGTTTATATAATTTCTTTTAGTTTGACTTCAAACCTTGATATTGACTTGACTTCAAAATTTCAAAATTTGATGTTCCACACTTTCTTGACTTTTGAATTGGAAAATTGGGACCAATTTAGGTAGGGGATAGCTTACTAGTTTAAAAACAATACTTTTCAGCTAATCAGATATGAGCGTAGTACATGCTTGAATTTGCCATTTAGTTTAGGGGTGAGGTTGTTCACTTGGTCTTTTGGGGGGGGGGGGGGGCAGATTGTTCATATGGGCCCAAAATTGATATTCTGAGCTACCCTGGAGAACTAGTTACTAAAACGTTCCCAGCAGCATGAAAAATTTCGAGAAAACTTACAAAAAGCCCAATCACTTACTTAATAAAAAACGCTTTACTTTGGGCTTGAACGGATGGTTTCAGGAGTGGGGGAGAATAACTTGACACTAGCCGATGAGGCATGCAACTTCACTAAGACTGGTCAGACCTGGATTGTTGAGTACGCCTACAACGAATGTGGAGTGGAGCGCGAGGAGTTTCCGGAGAATGGAACCATTCGGTAACTTTTGGTTCTGTTTGAAATTTTAGACGAATAGAGCCGACATTCAAGATAATAAATAAGCGTAAATAAGTCGATTGAGCTGCTGTGTTTTCGTCGCTCGTTCGTTTCTTGGAATCGCTGTGATATAATTTTGAAGCTCATCGATCTCCTATACATGGGTGTTTATATTGACTGACCGGATTTTTTCAGCACTTTCTGAATGTGGTGAAGCCGGAATAAAATCGATGTAGTAGAACTCAAACTCGATTACTCAGTCAGAAGGAAAATTCAACAAGGAAAACTATTATGATCCCTTTCTTAGGTACACTCAATATGTGCTGTACGGAGATACAGCTCGAGAGGTGTTCGATTCCGGATCTAACTTGGCCTGGGTGTCTGCTCGGTCGCACATCTTCACGCTGGAGTGCAACTACAGGTACTCGTATATAATTATACTACTAGTCATAACTTTAGTACAGCATTAAAGATTTCGCACGGCAAACTCCACTATCGCACAGCAAAATTGTAATGATCACGAATAGTGTGATAAGTTTCTAGTTTTCAAGTGGATTTGAATTTTTAGATTTCCCAGCTGGAACCAGTTAAAAACAAGTCCTTTTATTCCTTTTAAGTTTCCTTTTATTCCTTTTACCAACAGTTTCCTTTTTTCCTTTCATATCTTTTCTCTAAAACAACCAAAAGCTTAAAGACTAACTCAAAAGAATTCCAAATCGTCAAAATCTTTCTTGGATTTTTAACCATTTAAAATCTTATTATTAACCATTTAATTTTTAACCATTTATTTTTAATTATCAAGTCATCAAGGCTTCTTCTTAATTTTGAACCTTAAATCCTTAATTTTTTTTAATTTAACCAGATCATCGAGACTTCTCCTTGGATCTTTAGTCTCTACATTTTTAAAAATTATTTCTTTTTTATACTTGGATCATCAAGGTTTTCCTTGGATCGATTTAATTTCAATTTTAAATCCAATCCATCTCTTCTATTTATTGGCTATCGACCAAAACGTTTATTCCTTTTCCGACCCTCTAAACAACCCAGGTCTAACTGCCAATTGTTCTTCTTAAAAGTCACCAATCAAATTAAACTAAGCAGTGAAGAATTTTGGTCACTTATCCTCCACCTAAAACCAACCTCTTATTCGACCCAATCTCATACAACCCTTAGAACTAGTAAGTTCTAGAAGGAAATCTAATGATCTATTTGCGTTCTGGTTATATTTGAACATTGTGAAATGATTTCATTTTCTCCAACCCAAGATCTCATATCAATCCCCATTTAGTTAAGATCAGGAATATTTGAAAATTAAAAACGCCACCTACGTTTGAGAGCAGTAAAATTTCATTCTATTTAACTGATATACTCTCTCCCCAACCCGTCTTGCCACGGCAATACGTCCCGAAAAATTAGGATAACAATCAAAATATTGTAGAAACTAACAGTTTAGGAACTAGAACAATTAACACCTGGATTGTGCCTCAATCACTCAAAACCTAAACTGTGCCTCAAGCCTCTAACACTTAATATCCATTTTAGCAAACAGGCAAAAACAATAGTACAAAATTGTCTCGTTCAAGATTTCCGCGTGATACGACATTGTAATAAAACCGCGTTAAAAAAGGATAGAATACAATAAATTGAGAAACAATAAAAAAACTGAACTTTTCTCAACAAACGAAAACAAACTTATTAAAAATGATTTTCAAGGAAACGTACGCAATTTCAGTATCCAACACAACAACGATATGTAAGATCAAGCAGTAGCCCAACCCAACCCAATTTAAAGAAAAACTTTTTTCCGATTCCAAAGCAACAACAGCATCATCCGTCAAAACAAAAAGAAGAATAAAAAAAATGTAACAAGAAACCATTAGGAACATACACTTGGAATAAAACTATTAGGCATATTGGAAGTTACACACTAACAGTAACACCACTCCATAAAAATGATTTAAACCACGATAACTTTGGGGATCATTCTATCCTACCATTCGTCATACACCCCGATAGTGACCTATCACGCGTAAGCGTACCAGTACACGTTTGTCACAACCTCATAACAAATTAACTTCGAAAAAGTAACAGTCCTTGCAAAAAAGCACTCGCGGAATCAAAAACAAAAATATAAAAAAATTTACCATATTTCACAAACTTTTTGCTAATTTACCTCACAATATGTAATTTTTGCCAACTGAATTTCAACCACCAGACCAACATTTTCATAAAACATATTTAAAAAATACAACAAGAAAATTCACAACGTGAATCCTCAATATTCACAAATAATGAGTTAGTATTTAGTTAGAGCGGTCTCCATGTATCCCTCAGACGAAACGTTTTTTGTATCAGCACCACAGACACCAACAGATACAACATTAAAAACAGAGCTAGCTCATTTTCATGATTCTTAGATGCGATTCGAAAAAAAATTCATTGATTCGAAAGTATCATCATAGTAAAAATCTATCTCCAAAGAATCTTAGCATGGCTTAAAGTACCTTCAAAGAACCTTTGCCAAGAATCTTAGAATGGTTTATAATCGACTATTTTCCACATAACATAGAATTCATAGCACAATTAAGAAAAAATTTAGAAAAACTGTGACGAAGATACACTTTCAGCAGATGAATTATTTTATGTTTGAAAACTTGAACCGTATCATGATATTGTCATTAAAATACCAAACGATATTTCTAGCGAAGCAATCCAAACAATTTCAGTTATTAGAAATTTTTTGAAGGTTATCCTATTGACAACAGATACAACGCCATGAAATGATAAAACAATATTTATTAGCAGGACAATTAATACTAGTTTGAATTACTTGTTTAGGAATGCTGTAGGAAAACCTTGTTGACTTGCGCCTAAGTTTTCTTGTGTATGCTTATACACAAGAAAAATTGGACGAAAGTCACAAAGATTTTCCTACAGCATCGCACTTTGCAAACAAACAAGTCGTTACCACAATGCCAGAAACAACAGAACAACTTATCTCACCAATACATCCTTTATTCACAACACCACATGCTAAACATTCACCGTTCCAACATTTCAAAATACAATCAACAGCTAAACCAACCCCTCATCGAATCTATTCATCTATGGATTGTAGACCCATAACTAAGAAAATGTTCTTCTAATAGAAAAAAAAAACAATTTGGACACCTTTTGCAAACCCCAATTATGATTTTTAAAGTTAGTAACCCTATAGCAAAAAGAGTTCAAACAAAACAATCCTAATTTCTTGACCATAACTGTTACCAAGAATAGCCTAAAAGCCTAAACTCACAAATTGTCAGTTTTCATGAAAGAAGAATACTCAGACAGGTCATTCTGAGAACTAGCCATTTCTTAAACAAAATAAACAAGTCGAAGTATTCAATGGATAAATCAACAGGACTAACCGAAATCATTTGTCGGAAGATAAAGATCACTTTCGAAAAAATCAACAACAAACATTTAGATCTGACCAAAAAATCAATGGTAGAATGACGATGAAGCAGAAGCTATTGTTTCACAAGATGTTTTTGTACCATATTTAGACCCACCAAGTAATGAATGACAAAACATTAAGATAACAAGGAAACAAAAGTTAACACCAACAGACCATAACATACAAACCAAAAACAAATTACACTACATACTTAAAATTACCGTCTGCAACAAGGAAAAACGAAAAATCACTACCATATTACTTACAACAAGATGAAAATAGCACACACCAAATTATATATTTTTTTCAAATACATAATTCAGCAGAATCACTCCAAACGACGTTCAATCAAAATTTTATGGTGGATCATCAATTAAATCAAATAAACCCCTCAAGGTTTTCACAGGAACAAATACTGAGTACTTAGTTGAAGATTAACTAAACGCTGTTACATCAATCTTAATTTCAAATTTAAGCCCAGAACCTATAAACACACTTCTTTATCAGAATCGGACTCAGATACGTACAGCGCTAATACAAAACACACTCGACATAGCAGCTCAAAAATAGTTTTCAGTTTCACCAATAGAAAGAAAAGTAAATTGGAAATGCTCTACACAGGGCTTTTCAAAAATGTTCGACAAAAAGTTGAGAAAACAAACAGCCTTAAAGAGTTTTATCGACATAAATATTCAAAAAAAACAAACAACATCAAAAAATTTGATATAATGAACTCTGTAGACTACCAAACAAAAAAAAATCAAACAATTCGATGTGAGGATAAAACACTAGGAAGATAAACATATTTTTTTACACACAAGATTTTAAAAAATCACAGAAATTTTGATGATGATTTTAACACAACAATTACGTAAAATAGCAATGAATTAAAGAGCCTCGCGCCCTTCTGCAATCCCTGAACCCAATTTTGATTTTAGAAAGCTTGTAGACAAATTAGTGTGAGGAGAAAACAGTATGAAATTGGAAGAAACAGACGACTTAAATTTACAATATAATTCAAACATTCAGGCAACGAGAACAATATAACAGAAAAACTCAAATTTCAAGGGAAAACCCCCCTGGAAATTATTGATGTAATTATGATAGACGATACGGACAAAATAAGGCCGAATGCCGGAACAAACAACAAAATAAATCAAGTCTACAAGCAAAACACACTGAAAAAACTAAATTTTTTCGGCGATACATGAAAAAAAAACAAATAAAAATACAAAATCTTATAATAGTTCCGAAGACCCTTGCCATTCATTTATAATATAATACATCACAATCGCCATGAAAAAATAATTATCGAGGAAGGTCTTCAGATAGAGGAAATTCGTATTATAGTACACAAAACAGATAGAGCCGTTCTAATAGCCGCAATAGTCATTACAAAAATAATTATTGAAGATCAAGAGCAAATAGAGTAATTATTCGAACTACAACAGAAACCTAAAATACTCAGTTAATCGAAACAAAAACTACTAGAATGACCGTTTTCGAAACTATTCGAATAAATGTAAAAGAGTTTTTTCAAATAAAAAATTCACATGAAAATTCTAATAACTATAGAAATAGAAGAAATAGCTGTGATAGTGGATCATGTCGAATTTTTCTAAATCGTCACACCAAAACAGTTCGCAAAACTTTATCCGATAAAATTTAGAAGCAATACGCTAATACATCAACGACCAATAATTTAAGTACAAACTCAATCTGAAACAACTACTGACCCCCAGGAATTGAAGCAAATGAATCCTGAGAACTTCAATTAAACCACAAGTTTCGTAACAATTCAGAAAAAAACAGAAAACTGACACTGAAAACACACTAATGGTTAAATTGTTAAAGTTGATCATGAATATGAAACTCCAGGTCACTCAGACCATTATCAAAATGATCAATTTGATAGCAACACCCATGAACAAGACAGAGGTTCAATAGCAGATATACCACATTTTCCTCGCCAATTGGCAAAT